AAATCATCTCAAATAAATTTTAGAATTTCTTTTTCTTTTTTTAAGCCCTGCTCTAGACAAATCATGAAAGACTAGTTATAAAAACTATATAAAAAACAGATAATTATTTCTATGATTTTTTGAGCGAACCTAAATGAATCTTTAAATATCAACTAAATTCAAGCATTACTTTTAAAATTATTAAAATAATGTAATAAAATTAAAGTCAAGTTATTCGTTCAGCTGATTTTAATCCATATAACACTTAAACGCATAAATCAGAATAAAATCCTAATACCATACAGCCTATATTGTTGTGTTTTCTTATACTCTTTGAGAACGTTAAATTCGCCAATATTTTCTAAATTTTTCTGATAAAAAATAAATGTATCAATATGAGATATGGTGTCTTTTTCTTTTCTTCTTGATACTTGACTATTGATAATAGATCTATTCATTTAATAGTGTTAACAAAATATAAATTAAAATGACTACTTCTGTTTGCTGGTACAGTCGTTAACTTCAGCGGATAAGTTATATGAATAAAAGTTTGAATGAAGTCATGATCACAGTATACCATAAGAAACAACTCATATATTAAAATAATAACATATTATGTAATGAAATTGAAAATTTCTATAACAGTTAATTGAACTTGGTTTAAACATTGCCATTAGATTTGACTACATCTCATATTAACACAAAGTCTATTCCAATGTGTTATTATTATTATATGGATGTAGAAAAAAAATATTCTTTCATAGGATGTACTCAATTGTAGTCATTCAAAAAACATTTGTTGAATATCAATTAGATAGTAAATGAATCTCCGAATATTTGAAATGAAAATTGAACCATTGAGATAAAAAATAGAAAAACAATTCACTCGATATATTTAATTAGGAATGATACAAAGATTTTAAAACATTTTTTTTTTACAAATGTTTAAAATGAAGAATGAATCTTTCAGATACAAAAATAGAAAAATATAAACAAACATAAGCTAATTTATATGCAAATAAAAATCGGAAACTCTTGATTCTCGATACATCATACAGTACTATCTTTCTAATTGAAAAATGAATTGCTTGACGTCTAATAAAAATTAATTAGCTCAATCAATAATTGATTATCATATTTTAAAAATTTGCATATAAACAAAGTGCGTTCAAATAGATATTGTTTACGGCAATAAATTAGCACACGATTTTTAAAGATACAAAAAAATAACAATAAAAGTGAAATTTATCAGTATATTTTCTGTATACATTTTAGAATTCTGTTCGAATCGAATCAGATTAAAGTAACGTGATTGAAATATGATATTTAAGCACACAATTTTTTTTCTTTCTATTGACTTTCAGCCATAGTTCGTCATTTTTTTACTAATCGACAATGAAGCGTTTTTGTAGACTCTCTGTATTTTTGATTATATAAAAGCAATACATGAAAAAGAAAATGGTAAGTAAGACAAGAAAAAAAAGCCATTTGGGACCACTGTACTAATCAAGGTAAGGTCAGATACAATCATTAATCGGTTTATTGAATGAATAAGATGTAATTATAACCGAACAAACAAAGAAAGTAAAAGAACATCGAGCGACAACCGTCTACATTAAAATAAATAAAGGTACGACGCAGTACCTGTATATATCAAAATCATTCGTTTGAATCTAAAACATTTTTGATATATAACTGGATGTTCTCCACCCTAAAACATATTTAACTCTAGTATACACAACGATTTATGGTGCATTGTTAACACAAAGATCAGCGAAATACTAATAAAAATATCTAATAAAAAATTGCTCATCATTTTCAAAAACCAATCGATGAATAATTTTCTTTTTTTTCTTTTGTTGTCATCAATAATTTTTATTTTTTCTCGAACGCATATTCATTAATATTGATGACTATATCAGGACCAAAGTTGTTTGAGGTCATTATGTAACTTAATCAGAAAAAAAAATGTGAAGGTGAAACGAACATCATCACATCGGATTTTTTATTCGATGTAGTATACAATATATTATGATAATCAAAGACTTATTTAGCAAATATACTCAAATGATGATACAAAACCAAAATACATGAGTATTAATATTAAAAAACAAAGACATTTTATTTTCAATCAATAGTTAAATATTATATTACATGATTAACTAGAAAAAAAAAATAACAAATCATTTTTCCTTGAATCAATATTTTTGTTTATAGCTAAATTTTCTTTGATAGATGACGTTTTGTATGAAGTGTCAAATGATCGGAACGAGCAAATGCACGATCACAATATGGGCAGGCAAATGGTTTTACACCGGTGTGTTTTCTGAAAAAAACGAAAGAAATCAAAATTTTGAATTTCTTTTTGTTCTATTAATTTTTTTTTTCTTTTTACCGATAATGTCGTGTTAATTCATCAGATCGTCCAAATTTCCATTCACATCCTGGCCATGTACATGGATATGGTTTAATACCAGAATGTATTCTTTCATGAGAACGTAGAAGACATAGTTTTGAGTAAGTTTTTACACATCCAGGATATGAACATAAGTAAAGCGATCGATCTCCTCGTGATCTATTATTATGCGATGATTTTTTATTTTTTGCTTTGGATATTTCTGAACTATTTATTAATGAATGGTTTTTAAAAGAATTATTAAATACATGTGAAGGTAATGATAAATAATAATTCTGTATGCCAGGCGAACACATGTTTTCAACAGAAAATGAAATTGGAGCAGGTAAAGGTAATGATGATTCTAAATGAACTGCTGATTTATCGTCTAATTGACATTGATTAGGCTCTTCAGTAACAATATTGGAAAGATTATTATAATCAGTTTTATATGAAGAAGATAATGTTTCATTATTGTATAAACTATAACAAGATGCTAATTCGTTTGTATTTTGTTGTTGTTGTTGTTGTTGTTGTTGTTTGATAAAAATTTCATATGTAATAGGTTCAGAACATTCATCATCTGGTGGAAGACATTGTTGACACATAAATGAAGAATTCAATGAATGATTAGTTGGACTTGAATGTGTTATTGAAACTGAATGTTGATATGAATGTTCATTTAATGGTGTTGTTGAATATTGATGTTGAATTTCAAATGGAATTAAACGTGAATATGGACTACAATCAGATGAACAAGTTGATGAAAAAGATGTTGATGGACTTGTTTTAATTAATGCATCATTTGTATCATACATATTATGAATATCATATTGCGAACTATTATCTAAAATATTGAAAGTTTTAAGAGGAGTTGTTTGTTCGTAAGTAGTAGGTGATTGAATTGGATGCAATGTATCATCACGAAAATATGTAGTTTTACGCCATAATTGTTCTGCACCTAGTGAATACTAAATTTAATAATAATAAAAAATATCTATGAATTTTATTTTTATTCGTTTTTTTTTCTATTAAAGAATTAACTTACTTTATTTGATAGTTTTGCATTAGTAAAAGCTTCTTGTTTACAATCTTTATCATTGACAATTTTAGTATGTTTTAAATGAATAAATTTCTTCATAATATTCAGTCGTTTATATTGTATTAATGGTTGAATATTTTAATGTTATACATATCTAGTCCTAGTTAGGTGAATAAACAAATGTAGTTCAACTTATGAGTACTTATGTAAAATGAAAAAAAAAACACAGAGTGATTGGTATACTGTTCTCATTATCATAAGAACGTTAATGAAAATGGAGTTACACGTTTTGTTAGAGAACAAAAAACAAGATTGCCCAACGAAGCGTTATAGTTATCTATCATTTTTCATAATGCAATCCTTATCTACACTTGATATAGAGACTTACCATTGTTGTTTTTTTCACCTCCTGTACACCTGTATGGATCGAAAAAAAAATGCATTTTTTATGAATAATAGTCAGATATACTTGTTTGATGTTCTGTACATATGCATGCAAACGCGTGTTTTTTTTTTGCTTTCTGTTCTCATTCATTTTCACCTTGGTGTCTTTCATTAAATGGACACATTAGCAAGGCTATGAGGATGCTTTACTTGATCCATTTATAATCATAAATTAAACATTTATAGTAGTTATTTAGATGCTTTATAAACGCTTTTGAAAAAAAAAACGTACAAAACGCAATTGCTAATGATCTACTATACACATTATTTGACTTTAAAATAAACTTTTGCACGTAATAGAAGACTTCTTTTGAAGGAATGATGTGCTCAACGTTATATAAGACCTTCTTCTTGTTAATTATTGAACATATCTCAAAAATTCGAACTTTAAATAGTATATCTAAATCAAAACATGTCCTGTGTTCAGGAATTTGAACTGCAAAATCTTGAAAGATTAAGATTAAAACGTTGTCTATGTTTTTAAAATTCCGAAAATTCGATATCCTAAGTCTCAAAATTCCTATAGTTTTTTTTTTCTAAACTGTTTCAATTAAAAATTATGAAAACAAACGAAACACAGCGAAGATCAGGAGTGTTCTATTTCGTTAAGAAGTTTACTTTCATGCTAACAGAAAGAAAACTCTTCTGTTATTGTTTGTTTTATGCTTCTTAACTAATGATGTACAATAGAGAAAAAAAACTACTTCAAGAAATGAATAGAATAGAATATCTTTCATAAAAACCTATTTTGTAATAGTAAGACGAGTTTTTTTCGATGATTGATTGAAAATGAAAAGATCTAAATAGGCATCAATTCAACGATCAATTTCAATGTAATATAAATTAAAACAAAATATTATTTTTGCTGATGTACGAAATGGGTTGGCTAAACAATACTAAAGATAATTACTATACCCGTATTCCAAGGTCAATATAACGCATTTGTATAAATCAGCATAAGACTGAATGTTCTTCTTCGATTCAATCAGGTATATACATATGCATCCTACTGGACATATTTATTGTCGATGGAAAATGAATTACTAATAATATTGTACGAGAACAGTCAAACGATATAGGGACGCATAACACAATGCACAGGAGCAATCAACAAAAATAAGAATGTTTGATTTGCCGTGCAAAATGACAGAATATGTACAAAGGTACGCCGGCGTAACATAAATGTAGAGCAAAATTACGTTTACTAAATAGATTGTTCAAATATTGTGCATCTCAAAAAATAATTGATCTTGTACACAAAAATAATTATGAAATATTTTGTCACTAATTAAATTAACTATACGAAATCTTTTAGAGGATTTCAATGTGCAATTATGAAACTTTAAAAAGTTGCTTATTTATAATTCATGAAGAAAAATATAAGATATTACAGCAATGTAATAAAAGCATTTGTTATTGATAAATAAATTTTAAAACCTTAAAATCATCGTGTTGATTTTTTCATTTCTAACAATTGAAATGGAAAAGAAAAAGAAAAAGAAACCTGTTCAATGAATTTCTGTTAGATAAAATGTAAAACACGACGTAGCTGCTCTTGCAAATGACAAGCAGACTGTTTTATTCTATCAATTTTAAGAAACATTTCTTCATCATCTTTTTACTTTATCCTTCACAAATGCAATAAAGAAGTAGCTCATATATTTTAACGAACTGTCATTCGTGTACAGTCTGTCATTATATATCAACAACATCTATCATGGTCTGTGATGAGGTAATATCTAGTCTGTTTGTCATGCTTGTGATGAGTCATAAATTAGATGTCTGTCACGTATATGAAGGGTTGATGAAGGGTGGATCCCAATTTCTACCTCAATACTTTAACATTCCTTTAAAATCGTGTTTTATAAAATTCATATATGCATTGTCACGATATTTTGCGAAAATATTTTGTTATTTTAATAAGATAGAGTAAATCATACCTCAATCGATTCATACCCCACAAACGTAATGAATGATTAATGTTTAAACATCAAGATATAAATAATAAAAAATGTTATATTCAATATATTAACGAAAAATGAGTAACTATGAAATAAAAGGCATTTTCAGTAGCGTTTTTTCTTATTCAACAATACTACATCCTAAAACAAATGATGTATCATAACTTCATAATTAACTTTCATTTGATTGAAATCTTCAACTGTTCATATGTCAGAACATTTCATATATACGTATGCCGCTATTTTCTTAGTTTGCGAACTTAACCACGAATGGCTTTTTTTTCAGTGCGAGAAACAGCGAGAAAAGAAAAGTTATATAGTTCATAAAAAAAACAATCAGTATGATTGAGAGATATTTCAAGTGATAAAAATTAAGATATGACAGGACAAAGAAAAAGTATATATGAAACTTTTCTAAACCTTGTTCGTCCATGCTCATTCAAGATCTTGATGTAGCCTAGATTTTTTTTTCAAGAAACTTGTTCCAACCGGTTATCTTCATTTTAAAATCGTTCTAAGTTTGACTAACATATTTTTGTCAAGAGAAAATCATACTTTGCGATGACAAGACAAAAAAAGAAAGACTAACTGTCTCTCAAGTCGATATGTTGCGCATCTATTAAACATAGTTTTTCTTAATAGAAACTGTAGAGTCAGATTTTGATTCTTTGCATTTTTTTATCTTAATGTAATAAAGAAAATGCGAACATGATTTTTCTTAACTGAAAAAATTTTCTCTTCTTCAAGATATGGTGCCAATATTTGCTTTTTTTTTACTTTCAACTAATATAACTCGAGGTATGAGCGGCATAGACTGCTGAGATTTTCAGAAATATAGGAAACTATTGAGAAAAGTATTCTATGAAAACTATCAAGTCACTCGAAGTTTCCGAAAAAGAAATACAAATAAGGTCATATTTTCGATTCCCTATGTGCCATATTTTATTTCCATTGAGCCAAATCTTTATCTGTTTTCTTTATGAAATATTTACCGTTGAACTTCATTGCCTGTTTTGTGTTCAATATGAACAACAAATAAATTCTTTTTGTTTTTAGGCTTCTTCATCTTCAACAATTCTTACAAAAAAGAAGAAGTGAGATGCAACATATGTATAAAAACCATTTGACAAGAAAAAAAATACTTCCATTGACAATAAAATAATCCATAACAGAATGTTCAGAGTAAAACAAGAAAAATTTAATTATAAAAAGGAAAGGATTTATCAAAACTATCTCACTTTGAACTCTCTTCGCCAATGAAAAGGTTCATATCCGTCAGATTAATCGAAATAAAGATGAATGCATGAGAAGATAGTTTAACATCGAATCTTTCTCAAACAATATGATTTTTGTATTTGACATATCGTTTGTTATTTTGTCAGAAAAGACTACAAATCTTTTCCCGTTTTTTATAATCATATGCCAGAGAAATGTTGAAAGAAGCTCATTGTTGCAAATTACTAGTTTTTTGGTTGGAAAAATCATGTAAAACCAAAGTGTCTGACAGTATCCATTTTTGAATTAAAGTCTTTTTTACTATTATATACAAATGCATCTCTATAAATAGACTACAATTTTTTTATGAGGCTTTTGAGGTCTTAAACTTGTCTTTCTTTTTCTCTGCATAGCAGAAAAGAATCAAAGAAAAGGATGCCGTCACCCACTATAATTTGCCATGCTTTTTATCAAATGGAAAAAAACTGAAAACATAGAATGAAGCCTCATAGAGAATTTTGGATTGCCAAACAAGGTATCTCTTTGTCCTTATTTGACGAATATCTTTAAAGAACATGATGATATAGTGCTGAAAATTCTAAGATAGTCACTGCACTACATCACCAACATATCGTAAAAATTTCATGTGAATTGAATGTACTTGACCCAGGATCAATTTTTGAATATGGGTAGAGGTGTTAATAATGGGTTTAGCATGGAACTAATTGATCTAGTATGTTAGACATTAATCTTGCATTATTTTTCTTTCTACAGAAAATAAATTTGTCAACAAGCTTCGTAAATCTAATGAAAATAAAAGTTATTTTTTATCGCTTTTTCTTTTTTGTTGAAAATAGATTCAAGTATCAATTTCAGTTGTTTAACACATAAAAAAATGAAACTAGCTTGATTCATCTCGTGTAATATAATAATGATTGTTTTCAGCAATTATGTTTATATGAATATAACCAATTAATGGAACTTTTATTGTAAAATAGATTAAAATTCGACTATCCCATTTATTCTTCTCATGTTGATATTGTATTTATATCGATAGACATAATTCTTGATTTCATTTTATAACAAGAATTCTTCTCACATGAAAAAAAGTTCAATATTGATCTACAAGCATGTTCTTGATTGGCGTTGGGATTCGAAAATATTGCTAATATAAATAATACGATTTATTGTAAGAATAGGAAAAAATAATCATAAATAAATAATGTAAACTATACTTTCTGTGAAGGAATATACACTGTCTACTAAAACGACTCAATAAAGTATAGTTTCAATTATTTTCCGCTGTCTTAATGTTTAAATAGAATCCAAATGGTGATTCGAATAGAGAAGAACATGTACAAGACCAATATTAAAAATAATAATCAGATTTTCCACGACGTAGTTTCTAGAAAAACCAAGCTAACAGTTTTTCTGTACATAGAACATACAAATATGGATTTGGTCAGAAAACACAAAACA